GCCGGGCTCGCCGCCCCCTGCCCGCAGCCTTCCCCGTCGCCTTTTTTTTTCCGCCTGGACTCAATAAAATCCCTCTGGGCCTTGCGGGCGTGGCACGCGTCTCAGGCCAAGACGTTAAATTAGCCAAATTTTGCAGATACTGGAACGTGTGCCCACAAAATTATAAGCAAGATCGAGAATTTGATGTGTGAAGTCCGAGGGTAGCAGGAAACGGGCTATTCTCCTTAAAATTGTTTTCGCTCACACTCATAAACGAAGGGCCCCCCCCAAGTTCATTTTCCAATCACTAATACTTCCATTTCTCAAGATTTGACCAAAAATGCCAACTCTGCTGTCAAAATCTTACATCTTTCTCCTCTTACAATTTTTTTCAGCTGCTGTTCTCTTTCACAGTCTTCAGAAAGTCTGAAGCTGCCTGCGGGGCTTCGACAAGGGAGCACAAGGAAAGGTAGAGTGTCTTGAGAAGTGGGTTTTTATGTTAAACCTTTCGTCTCAATGTTTAACGAATAAAGCAGTTATTTCCTGATTTGTGCTGTATTAAAATAACAGTACAGTTTTACCTATCCAGATTGCTTTCATGTTTAGAATCAATTTTTCCGAAGGTGTGTATGGAAACCATGCAAAAAGGCATAGGAGAAGATGCTTGGGTCTTGTTATTTCGAATGCAATTACACTCATCTAATGATCCAGTAATACTGAAGGATGTTGGAGGTGGTTTCTGTTTTCATGTTGGAGGTGGTTTCTACTTTCATATTGGAGGTGGTTTCTATTTTCACTCACTTTGCTATTTATTTTCAGCGGCTTTAAAGCCTGGCAACATTTTGGGAAAATCATCCCAAATAGGAATAAATAGGAATTGGGAAAATCATCCCAAAATCATTTGAATTGCAATGGCAGAGTTTTATTAAGAATCTCCTGTTCCACTTGCAGTGAAATACACTTTATTAGTTTTTTTTAAAGAAACATTCAACCTACCTTATGACACAAAGCAAAAGCCTGCAATTTCCCTTTTTTGCTTCAGAGTGATGCTGTGCTAAATGGTATTGACCTACCAGGTTCAATGTGTTCCTTCTAAAATAATAAAAACACAAATCCGTTTGAATAGACAAAGTAACTTAATGACAATGAGATGTATCAAACAGTAGGAAAAGACTTCATTATCCCCCGATACATTTGAAGCAATAAAAAATCTAAAAGAGGGAGCGGTTTTGCACTGGCTTATGACAGCAAAATAGATCATTTTTCAAAAAGTCTTTTATCAGGCTTCTCTACTGCTCTAGTAATTTTAATGCTAATTTTCTCTACAAGTTTCGGAATGGAGCATTCAGCCTTCATGAGCGGTAGGTCTCCTTGCTACGTAATTCTTGCGGTGAATGAAATCCAGTTGAACTGATGCTAACTTTATCAGGAAAGTTTTGCTCTTCCCAGCTAGCAGTTTCAACTGGTGTGAACAGTGGCAGCAGTTTGATATTCTGCTCGATGTGGCTGGGCTTTTCTGGTCATTTGTTGTTGCAGATACATTTATGTTAATATTCCGTTGCTTCCGGAAGAAAGTCATTCATGGTGACAAGAGCATAGTCTCTTGCTGTCTAGCTCTTTTGACTGTATGCAGGAAGCGTGAGATCACTCCATGAGGACTTGATTCAATCTTTTTGTGATTATTTTTTCTCAAAAGCATTTCAGAAGTGGTGATTTAACTGCTTCTGCATTGTTCTTTCTCTAAAATGTGTTCCCAGGGCTATGGCGAGGGGGCCAGCAAACAGTCCATGCACAAAATGCTAGCCTGTGAACTTCAGTCTCGGTCCCACTAAGCCTCGTAAGCCCAAGTTCTTGTAGCGGTTCTGTAGCACAGACTGCCTCTGCTTCCTCAAAGCAGATCAAAAGATCATCTTTCAAAAACTGTCCTGTAGAGCTCCACAATTTCTCACGGAGCTCTGGGCAGGATTTTTAGACTCCTCAATATCTGGATCTAGCAAAGTCTGTTCCTAGGAGTTACAGGCAGTTTTCAAGAACAGGGAGCCATGAAGAAAATTTGCTTTTTTTTCTTTTTTTAATTTAAAAACAAAAATCTGGGTTTGAATAAACACTATTTTTAAATTTCTATCATTGCAAATTGCAATCCAGGTTCTAAGGGCAATAAAGGACATTTACATTTGGTTTTTAGTTTAGCCGTCGATAAAACCTTTTAATCTAGGAGACAGACGAGTAAGCAACAGTGGAAGGCAGAAGGCGTCTCTGCCGAAATTGGTATCCACCGCAGGGATGGTCGCTGTATGTGCATGCCACCAAGAGGAGGAAGATCTTGGTTCTTCTTGGTGCCTTTATTTTGGGTACAGCTAACCAGGATTAAAATTAAATGTATTCTTTCCGAAAAGTACTTTTTTTTTTTGTTGTTTGGAAGTGGAGCTCATTGTGAGCTGATGATAGTAAAACAGATTCAGGAGGGCCAAGGGAGAATCTGAGTTAATATATGGGGATGAGCTGTGGGGACAGGACCCCTTTACTTTGGAGGGGAGAGCCGTTTCCTGACGAGATTTGATGGAATCGAAGTCACCACAGCAAACCGATTTAGGCAGGAGAGCAGGTTTAATCAGTGATTGCACAGTCACTCTGCAGAAGGTACAAATGAAGAGACCAGTTATTCAGAGAGTTAGTGGCAGGAAGCGTGTGGGGTCTGTGTCTTGCCCTCTGTCCCCAGCCTTCCATGTTGGCCCCGTCGACCGGGTAGCAGGCCGGTACCCCCCCGAATCCCAACGCTGCTTTCCACCACATAGGTTTTGGCTTCTCGGGGAAGCACTTCCCAGCTTCCTCCTGCAGTGCCTCCATGAGGGGCAAATCACCAAGAGCTGTGCAGACAGCCAGCGCTGTTACAGGACCTCAAAAGGTCTCGGAAAGAACCATGGAGGTCCGGGTTCCAGGACCGGATTTCTTCTGCTCTCCGTGTTGCTGCCAGCCCAGCCTCGGACCCCTGAACCCTCCCAGGCTCTGAGCCTCGGATGCGGCACAAAATGTAGGACAGAAACCAACAGTCTCTCTGCCGTTTTCTCGTCAGAGCTGATGCCACGAAACCGCCATTCGGGGCTCCTCAGGAGGGCGGGCCCCCCCCCCCCCCCCCCCCCGGGCCTC